AGCACATTCTTTAATTTGACAGCACACATCAGAGAGTGTCAATTTTTTGAAGTTCTTGTTTGTTTGTTTGTTTTTGAAGTAGGTCCCGTCAGTAGAAATCCTCATATATGCTACCCCAGTTTTGCATTGGGACCTTGTTTCCTACGGGAGACATCTTCGGATTGTTTCTGTGGCCCAGACTTTAGCCCATACATCTTCTTGCCCTGCTTGTGCAGCCATATGTCTGGCTGTTGCAGTCTGGATGGTGAATGAAAAGGACACTCTGTCCAGAAGTTAACTTTTCTAGCAGTTCACCTACATAGAATCATAGAATCATAGAATGCTTAAGGTTGGAAGGGACCTCTAGAGCTCATCTAGTCCAACCCCCCTGCACACGCAGGGTCACCTAGAGCACGTGGCACAGGGCTGCGTCCAAGCGGGCTTTGAAGATCTCCAGAGAAGGAGACTCCACAGCCTCTCTGGGCAGCCTGTTCCGGTGCTCAGTCACCCTCACTCTTAAAAAATTTTTCCTTAAGTTCCTGTGGAACTTTTGGTGCTTCAGTCTCTCTCTACTGGTCAACAGGCTCTTCAGAATGCACATCTGGAGAGTTAAAGCTACAGATTGAATGCTGTTTGGCTTGAAGTCCTGACTTTTAGCCCTGACAATTCTCTAGAGAGAACAATAGCTGAAGAATGGGGAGAAAGTAACTTTTGTGAAGGTAAGAAACACAACCTAAAGCTCAATTGAAAACAGACACCAGGTTACTGAGTAAGCCCTCTGATGCGATATCTCCCAGATCTTAGTGATGCCTACAGCACTTTGGGGTAAATGGCTCTTGAAAAGCTATTTTGCACAGCAGGTATTAGAAACTAGAGTCTAGACTAGGAGCTTTCAGCTAACCCTTAAGCCAAAAGAGTTCTTGGCAAATTGCCATTAGGTAAATACACAAAAGGACATTGAGAGCACACCAAGTATCTTCTATGGTAGAAGGAAGTTTCTTGTGCAAACTCACTCATCAAGCGTCAGTGTCCCTCTTCACTTTTGGTGGGACCAAGGTGGGATATCGCTTGGCTTCAGCCTACAAGAAAGGTGTTCAAGTTACAGAAGTTGGAAGGACCATGAGCAAGCTGCTTCAGCAAGGCAGTGATGTGGGAGAGGGCTCAAGAAAAATCTAAAGAAATCAGAACTTGCTGAAGAGATAAACAAACACCTTGTTCTGGCAAGGATTCTGCCTCTGCCCCACAGTGGTGCTTATGGCAATGGCTCATGCTTCAGCCAGATGACTCCCTGGCACTGCACCTCATGGGGCTCCTCTACACCCTTCATGAAGCTGCCACCATGCTGCTTGGACATCTCCCTCTGAAGAACACCTAGTAAGGGCAGGTGGAAAGGGAGCCTCTGCTTCCCTCTTCGAAAATCAGCATCCTCAGGGTCTTCGCGGTGACCCACTAGGCAAGAGAATGAAGAGCCGACATGAGCAGCTTGTCCCAAGGGGTGTTTTCAAAAGCCAAGATGCACCCTTGACAAAGCGGAAACCATAGCGATGCTTACAGGACATAAGGAGCTGATGGTCTCCATAAGGACCCAAAAGGGAGGGCAATTGGGTGACGCTAGGCCTCTCGGCTTTGCCTGGGCACAAGGCAGGCACAAATAGCTCTATCACAATCAGGTCTCTCTACTCCCTCGCCTGCCACCAGCTCTGGGTCTCCACACCAGCCGGGTACAGGCAATCTTCCTGCAGTGTACTGATGACTGGCAGCACTGCTGTGGAGTGCCCTCCCATCAGTCCTGTTGGCTAGATGCCTCTTCCTTGGGGAAACGGAGAGCAGCAGCTCAGGTTCCCAAACCCTGTCAGCCAGGAGCTGTGCTGACAGCTCCATGGGGTTGGAGCTAAGTCCCAGGCATGAGGTTAAAAACCTCTCACTGCTCTGTGCACGAGCTACGCTCTGCGGCAGCTGTCCCTTCCACCCACCTTCATGGCTGCAGCTCCGCAGGCAGCACCATGCAGAGCTCTCCAGCATCTCCAGCCTTGTGGCCACCTGCAGACACACTCAATGCACTGGCAGGGCTCACCTGAGCGTGACCTTGCAGCCGGCGTTCCTTTCCCTCCCGCAACCTGCAGACAAAAGCACCGCGTGTCTCTCCACACCGGCACAGCACCAAACTGGGAGACAGACACAGGTGACTGTGGCTGAAGTAATCGTGGATATCACGATGGCACATTGTGAGCCAGCAGCCCCAGGCCTGTCACCTGCCTGTCAGGCACTGAGGCAGTAACAACATCACAAGCATGTCCAGTAGCCATGGCCCTGCCTCTGGCATAACAGGCAACAAGTCATTTTGGAAGATTTTATGGCAAGTGTGAAATTTCCATACACAGTAAACATACTATTCTCATAATACATGCTTAAGACTTTGAATGGAAACAAAAATTGGCCGAACATATTCTGCATATGTTAAAGCAGGAGTGTGAGCTCACTTGAAGGTGGCATTAAAACCTATGGCACTTTAAAAAAATAGATCTATGTTTGTACTATGCAGTCCTTTTATACTTCAAATCACTAGAGATTCTCTTTATATTGTGGCACTTTATATAGAGCACACACATATTTGCATCTTTATGTTTTATATGCTTGAGATGTTACCTCATTTTCTTTAAACTACTGGCACCAAAATGATGTCCCCCTGGCATAAGTCTCTTAGGAACTACCTCTTTGCAATGGCATTTCTTATCAGACAGATCTATATTGCACTTCAAACCAACTTAGCCTAACCAAGCTCCATTCAAAAGTCGGCCAGTTTGATTAGCATAACACTCCAGTCAGATCTACCACCAGTAAGTTGAGAACCTATATAGATATATGTACATCCAGGGTCTAACTATAATGCCAGACATGCTGATTTGTAGTCTGTGCACAGTATTTTTATGCGGGGAAAATTCAAGACTGCAACTAAACCTTATATGGTAACCTGGTGAACCATTAAGGTATTGGTTAATGCATCAGAAACCATACTAAAATCATCTGAAAGATGGTACTTTGTTAGTGTCCTTACAGATGATGAAAAAACGATATATGCCAATAAAATGCAGAAGGGTTGTAAGAAATCACTGCTACTTCATGTGCCAGGTAATGCAATTCTATTATTATTCTATAATGTATTATATTCTAAAATGTATTCTAGGAAAAACAAGTTCACAAAATACCATTTGTCATAGAAAGTGACAAGATTGCAGAATGCTTTTCTCCAGTGTATTTTTATTAGGGTTTCCTGCCATCATATCAACATAGAAAACAATCAGGATGTTGACATAGAAATGTGAAATTCACTGTACAAAGATAAGGCTCAAGTTACAGGTATATTTTTCCCCAGTCTTCAATGAAATAAAACGATTTTTAATTCTTCCCAGAGTTGTGTTTATAAATATTTGACAAACCACAAAATAGATTTCAAGTACATAACATTTTACAATATAATCCAAGCACAGACAGAAATACACAATGCTGTACCTACAGATTCTCCATAACCCAACTCTATCATTCTTGTCAAAAAAGTGCAGACTCTGCTACTCTGTCTGCCTACCCTTATCCATATGCTTCTGCACGTGTTATGTGGTCCTGGCACTTTAAGTTATAGAACTGTCATGACTTTCAGTTAAATTACTTTGGTAGACAAAAATATGTCATGGAGGATGGGAAGAATTTTAAAAGGCCAGGCCTGAGTGTATGCACATGGTTAGTAAAGGCGAGCACACATGCATGCATGATCTTGCACGTGACCACACAAAATCTTACAGCACTGCACATTCTCTGAGGTTACCTTCTCATTTTACTCAGCTATTTTCTGATAGAGTTAAAACAATACTACTACTTCTGCAGTGCTGTGATTTACAGAGGCAAGACTGCACTTTAGAATACAGAACCTAACTCTTTTTTTCTTTTGTAAATTATTAGACTTAAGGAGAAGCCTGTATGGAACCTTGTCTCTGCAGTCCAGCAGGATGCCATCTCTCACAGTCTTCATCACACAAAACACCATTTTTCACACCTTTGTTTAGACATTCTAGAAGTGAATAATTTCCTGATAAGGTCAAATGTCTACTTTAGTTCACTCTCCATTTCTACTAGGCTGAATGATTAGTATCTGATAGGAAAGAATTATTAGCTGCAAGTAGTGCAAGATGAAATACACATCAAGTAACTAATCAGTAATTTTCCTGGGGAACAGATTGGCAGGGAGAAGAAAGGATGACCAAAAGGAAAGTTAGCCTTTGTTGGTTGGGAAATGAAGAGAAATATATAAATTTTCAATTGAGCAGAGTAACTCCTAAGCTGTCAAATGTTTTGTTCTTTGAAAAAATGTGGAGAGAAAAGGAAAGGAGGAATCTTGCAAGGAGACTGAAAGACTTGCAAGGAGACTCAAAACTAGAAGACTTTATGCAGTAGGAATTACAGATGCGACTATATAGTTTAAATCCACATCTAACAACACAGCCTGAAATATGACTTCAGTTCTTAAATCTCTGAGGCAGAAATGAACAATTCTCTACCTTAACTAGGAGCTTTGTCTGTGCTAAGATCAGGGGAAGAAAAGAATTGAGTTCTACTTAAATGGAGCATTTGGGAACCTTCAAATGTTCTCAGCCTCGGACAAAATTTATGTTAGTATATCTTCTAAGCAATACTGGAATAACTGTAGATACACAAACCCATGTTACATGAAACAGCACTAGACTCTGTAACTAGGCTTATAATAATTGGGAAAGAGGATAAGTATGATGCTATGGATAGAAGGAAGACCCATCTGTATGCACAGAAAATGTTAAGTCTTAAGAGATTAGTACTAAAGAGCATCAAGAGGAAGGTATATCTCTTAGCGCTTAATCCTTAAACTGAGACTCAGTAGAATACTTTCTTGTCAACTAATGCTTTGTTCTTAAAATAGGAATATGTTTGTCTTCTCTACTGTTTTTAAAAGTAGTTCACTCATCTACTGATTTAGCTAGGGTTTGGGTGTTTTTCTACTTGCTATTATCTTTTTGCATATTATGTACAGTAATCTACATTTAGACCAAAGACTTAACTCACTTCCAAAACATACCTGGACTGTCTTGTAGAGACTTTCTACGGCACTGAATAAGGTATATGACAAACTCACACAGAAGAGGGCAGATCATTACTTTTCAGTTCTGTTCCGTTCCCCTAGCTTTACAACTGTATTATTCAGGAAATCTTTTGATTACTTGGTGTCATTTCAACTCCCCTAGGCAGCCCACACTGAACTTGAGTGAACCTTCTATACACAAACCACAGCCCCTCTGTGTAGAGCTATATTAAACCATTCACTCTCTAGCCAGAAGCAGCGTAAGAACAAATCACTACCGAAACAATAAAAATACCCTACATGCCCTTGTGCAATTCTTACCAATCTGTACATTTAAATAACATCAGAAGTTGTGTTTTGCTAAAAATTTACCAAATTTTTTTAAACACATAAAACTGTAAAAATCCAAAGAAAGAACAAACGAAAGAACAGAAAACGGCATAAACATTGCTTGTATAGGCATTGGTTAGAAGAGACTGCTGCACTAAGGAGTATATTCAAAAATATTTTTCTTTCAGTTTTATTAGATTTAGCGTCATGGATTATAAGTTATGAATAATGAATATGAATAACGTTATCCCCTTTTGTATGATGTAATAGATGAGCAAGAAGTCTGAAATGTAATGAAAATAGAAGTTCCTTTTTGGTTACTGAAGGTGCCTGTATACACCTATAACTAAAGCAGCTCTTTAAATATGTTAAGGAAACTTAAGAATGTCTACAACAAATTGAATATGAAGATAGCTACTTATTGGTGACCTCAAAGGTATTACGAAAAGCTGGCACTAACTGAAGTTTTGAATATAGCCCTTAGTTATGCATTTTTAAAAAATTTAGAAGCTCCCCAGCATCTCACGAATGAAGCTTATTTTGCAAGCCACCCACTGCCTAAGTGGGCAGTAATATTCAATATGAAACTGCTGGAACTCTGGTGTCTGACGGATTTCATGGAGAAATGAGATTTCAAGGTCCGACTCTAAGAGGACAAGAAGAAGAGGAAACACAAACAACAACAGTCCAAGGCCAACAAGAAGAAGTCTGGAGAAACTCTTCACAAAAGCATTCACCTCAATGTTGCCCAGTAGAAATTCATAACTCCACCTAAGTGCTCTCCGAGCTTCTTTCAGTTCTTCCTCCTCTGCGATCAAAAAGGCATTTTCATCTGCTTCCAATTCCTCAAACGAATCTGTATCATCTTTCTCATTCTCTGCTCTTGGAGAGGTATCGAAGAGCATGTCAATCTCATCATCAACTGGGGTGGGCAGCAGGCTGGCACTTGGATTGTACACCAGTTCTGAGATGGTTAAAGGTTCCTCTTTCATCTTCTCTTCATGTTCACTGGTGAGATCATCATTCTGCCCAGTTTCCCTAGCTGGGGAGCTAGAAATCACAGGGACCGAGATCTCGTCCTCCTTTGGCAACTGGACACCTAAAAAAAGAGATGGAAAAAAAAAAAAAGTGATCCTAAATTCCTGCTTACCTGTTGACAGAATCCAGCCTTCCAACAGTACTTAGCAGAGATTGGAAAGAGGATTTTGCAATCATTTTGGTTATTGAAACTTGATGATATACAAAAAGTGGAAAAGCCTTCTGAAAGTTCCATCATCTCAAATTCCCCCCTCCCCCAAAAAAAAGAAATTTTTTTTTTTTTTTTTTTTTTTTTACACTACTGCAGTACACCAGCCCTCAGACCTGATTAACTGTTTCTGATGCAGCTGTGACTAGTAGTGGTCTCATACAAAACAGAACAGCACTTTTCCTACTGGTAGTTGGACTTCAGATAAAAGTGTATATTTTCTGCTTAGGTAAGCATTGGGGTACAGATGATAATAATTATTAAAAGAAACACTGCATGAATGATAAGTGGAAATTTTCAATACAGCATGACATTAAAAAACAGAGAAACAGCAGCTTATCATGACAAATGCATGCTAAGGGTAGAAAGGACAAAAGGAGAAAAGGCAATTCCACATTACAAGAGGTAAATATGATGGAAACTAAGTGTTCTCTGTAAAAAGCCCCCACCACTCATGCCTCAGTTTTTTCTTCCAGGCACATTTTGACTCTTCGTATTAGTATTTGTCTCCCTCTCCTTCAGATTTATCATAGAACAGAAAGACTGAGAAGTCAGTGACAACTGTCATCAGCTATACTGCATGGAGTATTGAAGTATTTTAGGCTAATCATTCATAGGAGAAGAGTTTAGATGAATTTGGTTTTGATTGTAAGTCACAATCCATTTAGACAGTTTTAAACAACATTAAACACTGTATAGAGGATATATTTAAACCACATCTTTTTTGGTACATAGAAGATCACATGAATCAATTACCTATATGCTGGACAAGTTCAGAATGGTTTGGAGCAGTATTCCAAATTTTAGGCAAGAAGAGAACATCGATGCTACTGTTGTTGGCCTGGTGGCGTACTCTTACGAGTAATAACTGCATTCAGTACTTCTTTGGGAGTATCAAAGAGAAAGCATCTCAGGTTAAAATACTACATACCTGATATTGCCTTGGTCAAGGGAATCAAGCTGATATTGGAACAAGGACAAATGCTCATATAGGTATTTTTTTAAGGTATATTTAAGATGCTGTTTACTTGAGTAGACTCATATCCATCTTTTTGCCTTACAGGCAAATCTCTCTTATCTTCTCCACCTTCTTGTATGCTCCCTTCTTACGTTCCTCGTTTCAACTCAATCTCTGTCCTCTCAAAACTCACTAGACTTTTCACAGTCTAGTCTAGTTCTAGTTATTCAGTAATAAAGCAACATTCAACACTGCTATGTAAAGACAGCAGTGACTGGAATCTACTTTCTGCTATTTGTTTTCAGAAGGGAGGATTGGAGAGAAAGACAGCCTGGCAAACAGCTGGGACTTTAAGACAAAGTCATGGGAAAACAGTTTTAAATGTACTCCCATGACCGACACTCATTAGCAGCATCGGTGCAACCTATGTGCAGAAAGAACAGGCCTCACAGAGCATCATGTGCTGTAATAATATAATACAGTAACACTCAGTTCTCCTTGTTTTGTGATGTCAAGCGTCTCTCCATTCTTCACAAGTGACTAATCCAATGCAATGTGAACATACAGAACAGCACATAAAACCACCACAACCAGTTTACATGACTTCTCCAACAGTTAACGCAGGTAATTCATGTCAAAATAGTATTTATAAATCAAATTAGCCCAATTCTTTGATTCGAGAAACAGATATCTAACAGATATCTATAAAAGATAAAGAAATGTAGATTCAGTTCAGTTTCACTTCTGTAACAAAAATTAAGGTTCAGAGGCTTTAAAACAATAGAGTGTAAAGATGTATTAGCTCAGACAAAGCAAATAAACAAATGAACAAAACCCACAGAAATCAGAATAGTGTGAAATGAACCATAGCTTTAACTGTAATGAAAACACACACCACCACACTGTAAGTATAGCATATATGACAAAACTGAAAAGTAATAATCCTGGTCATAAAAACAGTTACACTATAGCAAAATATGCAGCTTACCTTGGATCACAATTCTAACCTAAAATTTTTAATATTAACTCCACTATAATTCATCAAAATGTTCCATAGACTCTCCCTTTGAGATTGAATGCCTTCTCATATTTTTCTTGAAAATGTAACTGTGCTATTGTTGACACTATTAGTCTTAAGCATTGTAGTAACATTCACTGCATGGAACTGCTAGGTTTGTTTCTGAGATCTACTTTTCCTCTATTTGACTAGACAGCAAAAAAACAGTCTTATGTTACTGCTTAAAGATAATTAAGCTAAAAGTCAGCCATAACTACCTTTCAGAGAAGTCAGCAGTATTCGTACCACATGAAAATTTCTAGACATTATGAAAAAAAAATGCATTGATTGAATGACAAGATTGTACACCTCTTTGTTTTGGCTCCGGCCAGAACATATCCATGAAAACCACAGTTTTCACAGTAAGTGATACCAGATCTATGTACTACCAGGTCACCCAACAGCAGAATTCTCCTGGGTCAGACACAGTACATAACATTTGCAACTGTATGCTTTTATTCATGCTCTATGTATGTCATCTACTGAAAGATTTAATGTAGTAATCCTGCTGATAGAAGGCAACACTCAATACTTTGTGAGAGGGCTGCCTCACTTGGAACCTTACAGCAAAATAATTTTCATATCCCAGAGATCCTTACAGTTATCACAAAATCCTCCATATAACCTCAACATCTCTGTTACCCTTTGGATAAGCTGGAGAATATGCTCAGTAAGATACTTGTTAGGTACCTGGTTTACAGGTTTGCTATAAATTGGGTGAATGATGCCTTGATAATATTCATTAACTTTGAAATTATGCTGAATTTAATACCAGCTGAGGTGAAATGCTATTAAATCCGACATATGAAATAGACATTACAAATAGGCGCAAGCAATGACGGAAAAATTAAACTTGACCTATTTCATAAAATCATAGAATCATAGAATGTTTAAGGTTGGAAGGGACCTCTAGAGGTCATCTCGTCCAACCCCCCTGCACACGCAGGGTCACCTAGAGCATGTGGCACAGGACTGCATCCAAGGGGGTTTTGCATTAAATTTGTCTTTGAGGAAGCCAACTCCTTACTTTGCGGGCCAGCTTTCAAAATTCCCTTCACTGTCTTGAGTTTTATACCTCAGGTTTTATATATATAAACATATATATATATATAAACACATATTTAGTGTGTCTATGTATATATGTGTGTGTTTGTGTATTTACATATATATATAACATACACGTATATATATGTATATTAGAGAAAATTTCTTCATTACAGACGACCATCCTCAGGAAGCGTTCCCCACTCAGTGTCATACATTAACTGTCGGAGCTGATTGGCCCTCTGAGGTCTTCAAATGCTCCAAACAGGCTTTTCCTCCAGAAATACCTATTTTCTTATATTTTTTCTAGAAAATAAGATGTCCATGCCTTCAGGGAGGTTTCAAACCATGTCTAAAACTATCTAATGGCTATCTGATAACAAAAAGGACGTTTCTATTTCTGTGATCTAATCCCTGCGTGAGCCAATCTGTACATCTCAACTAGGAAAATAATTTGGTTTCCTTCTTGGGTTATTCTCTGCTGTTTTTTTCTTTCTGAATTGGCTTCTCTGAAGTTTTCATGAGCACTACAAGCAGTACATTGTCAGCAATGGAGAGAGAAAGGGATTGCTTTTTTGAGCAACAGCTAGAGAGTAAGTCTGCCTAACTGCAATGAAGCCTTGCTCTTAATAAAGAAAATGCAGATGTCTACCATTAGCCTAATTTGACTGGCTAGCTAACAACTAGCCTAATTTCCTCAACTACTCTGCCCTCTCCCACCACAGTCATTTTAGACAGTCATCCCATTTAAACATGAAACATATTTTTGCAGTGGAACTTTTTCAGGTGAGAATAGATTTGAGGTGCCCTTCCTGCTACAGCTGGTCACACTGGATCATCAAACTCTACTCCAAAGCTATTTGAGAGTGCAGTCCTGGCTTCTTGAATATAAATCTCCAAGTTTTCAACTTTCTAGCCCCAAATGAGTCCTCTACACATGCATTTGATACACAAATATAACAGTTTATTTTCCAGAGGTATACCACTTCCTCTTAATTTAATAGGAGTAAAAGTACATTGCTTACTTAGGCACCTCAATATGGATTAAAGAATCTATTTTTAAACCTCCCCAATTGGAGAATCCTGGCTACAGGCCTCCCTATACCTGCTTAGATGCATATCTAGTAATCTAGTAATATATCCATTCCTCATGCTCCTTATCTTTCAGAGGACAGCTGCAACTACTTCAAAGAAAGGTCACCTCGAATTATGATTTTGAGGCCTTCTCTGCTCCACCAGACTAAATCCCAGTGAGCATATCATACATAGTGATCGTAAATAAGAAATTAACAATTAACATTATTCTTTTCATAAAAAGATGGATTTTTTTCTTTTTTTGTGATTAACCTGCAGATAGAAGGCAACAGAATAGACACTTTTTCTTGCTTTTCAGATTGCTGTTTTCTAAAGAAGTTGTATTAAAACTAGAATACATTAATATGCTAAACTTGCTATCAACTTTACAGTCCATTTTTCAGTTTGAACTACTTATTTATGAGAGTCACAATCAGAAGATATATATGAAACTGAACCAATTACTACTGCAAATCCATACCACCCATACTCACTTGCCCATACAGCATTAAAAAAAGCCTTATGTCCTATTCCTTAACATCAAAGCAAAAATGTACTCAAAAAGGGATAGAATTTTAGTATTTTATAACATGTGCTCTTAAATCATATTCTACCAAAGCAACTATATTTTACATCAGCTTGATAACCTGAAAATAAAAATTGTTTCAAAATAAAAAATTGATAATTTAGAGTATTAACTGGCATTGTTGCAAGCTGATT